AATACAGCTTAACTATATAAATTAAGATTTGATTTTGAAAAATTATATCTGTGTAAAATTTAATATTAGTAATTGTTAATTAGTTTTAACATAGTTTTTCCTTCCATCATAAAGGAGTCCTTAGGATTTCATTTTCTTTCTCCTTTTGTAGCTTTACGTCGTTTGCTAGTGGTTTTGATACCAGTTCAGGACATTCTGCAGTCAAGAAAACAACCAAATCAACTCGCATTATCAATGGAAAGAAAATTGAAACAAGAAAGTAGGTGTTCCTATATTAAATTAGTGCATGAGCATATACTTGTCATATTTCAACATGCAACATTTGACTCAATGGAAGCAGAAATGGTAGGGCACTTTGTAGGAACCATATCATATCTTGCATTTAGTTTTTTTTTTCTGAAAATCTACTGGAATATGCATTATTTTATGAGGAATTCAGAGGCTTGTATCAATCTATAATTGTTTAACATCCAAAGAAGTTATGGTAAGTTTTTTCAGTAGTGTTTTTTTACAAGAATTCAGACAATGGTCATAGCATTGCAGTAGTACATTATCTATGGAACATTCACCATTCCCATACTTTTTGTGAAACCTGTGAGGAACTGCTGAGACAACAAGCCAGCATCTCTGAATGTGTGCTCTTGTTGAGATGCAAATGGAGAGGAGAGTTGGAGGAGGAGGAGAATGAGTCAAAATCAGATAAAGAACGGAAAATATGAATACTTTTTCAGAGTAAAGTGCAAGAATATTATAAGGATGAAAGGAAAGAGGAATACTAAAATAATTGTGAAACAGCATGACCATAGTATGCAGAAGGTTGACTTTGATAGAATAAAAACAACTTAATGATTTGTCAGATCAAAGAAAACAGGACATAAATGATCCCTGAATTATCTCCTATACAGTTAGGCTTCCACATTTGATGGGATACCCCACCATCTATCAAGATAAGTCATATTTTCTGCCATTGAGTCAGAGGTTGTTTGTAAAATACATGTATGTAAACGAATTTGTGTGTGTGTGTGTATTTATAAATATATACAGTATTAGAAATAATTGCAATTAAATGATCAATTTGACATTTGTGCAATAAGCTGTTACAGGAAATACAGATGAGAAGTGAATAAACTGTTTTTATTCTACCGTACTTTTATCAGTATATGATTTCACAATCATATACTTTTACTGGTTTCCCTTGAAGCAAGATTATTTTTCAACTATAATTTAAATTCCACTGAGAATCTAAGTTGTTACTTATGAGAAAGTATGCAAGTAAAATTGATTTGTTGAGTATTCTTTGTCTAAGGAATACTAAAGAATTGTATATTTTCATATATGTTATATAGGGTCATAGAAAATGGTACAGAAACTGTTACAGTTTATGAAGATGGAGTCCTGAAGAAACAAACAGTAAATGGGGTACCCCAGGCTCTTCAGTATCAGCATTAAAAATAGTATTTGCCTTTGGAAAGTACAATTAAATTTTTGATAATGTCAAATAATTAGTAAGATCAGAGCCAAAGTTTCTAGAGCATTGCAAAGAAATGAATATTTTTTTTTCATTTTTAATGAATTTTTTTGTCATTCATATCCAAGTCAAGATATACTGGAAGCCATTAAAATTTTCAGGTGTAATTTTCCATTCCTAAATGATATGTGATACATCTGTATATCTTTCTTTAGATTACATATATTTTTTCAGTGAATTAAAAGGAATGTTTGTTGATAGTACCTGGTTATAGCAACTTTGGCCAAAATAAAGCCAAAAACGACTGGTGTTATTATTAACTTCTAAATTCCAATAAATTGTATTTTAAGTCTTGGCTGTACTGTTATTTGATGTTTTTGCAGTTGTTTTGTGTTCAATGTTATCTTCGTGTGAGTGAAGTTTTCACACATGTGCATCACATTATAACAAAGTAATGTTATAGCTTGAAATTATGTGTTCATAAATTCTGTATTATGATGTAGCATGAAGAAAGTGAAAACTTCAATAGTATCACTGATTTTCCTAAAGCATTTTTGTGTACAAAGTTAATCATATAGTGTATGTGTAAATAATTCCTAGAAATTGTATTTTATTTGTTAAATGAACAGCATTTGTGACAACCCAACTGTTCTGTCAGTAACATTTTATATACAGTTTTGTATTTAGAACACATGTACAAAAATCTTAGTTGTTCCTAAGCAGTGTTGAAGCTAAATATATCATAATGTTAGCAGTGTTTATTTTTTTTCCTTTGAAAGAACTAAAAAGTCGTAGCATTAGGCATATTTTATATTGAATTTATTCTTACGCATACACAATACATATTCAAGCATTGTTCCACTGACCAAGTTGAGTTGTCATTCACAATGTTGTTAATTGTTTGATAGCTCTTTATAAAAACAGTGGGGGAAAAAAAGCTACTAAAGGTATTGATAGATTTATATTTTCAACAGTTTAGTCTATTAGCTCTTAAACTATTTTTGTCAATGTAAAAAAAAAAAATAAGAGAAATTACCAAAGTAAATGTAATTCTTACAACTATGATAAGCAAGGGGAGGCTGTGTCAGATTCTTTGTTGATTTTTCTAATATTCAAACTAGATAAGATGGAAGCATGTGGGTTTAAGTTCTATACAATGAAATGCACATATTTTAATCATGAGAAATGCTATCAATTTGGAATAGAAAAGAAACAAAGACATCAACATTGGCATTTGATGCAAGAATATTTAAACGTACTGCTCAGAAATCAATTTATAATGCAAATTGAGCATTCAGTTACTGCAAGAAATAGATAATGGTTATTGGATTCAATTTAATGTTATTTGTCTCACAATTTCTGAGTGAACCAGACCAGTGGTGTAGTATTTGGTAACAATCTAAGGTACACATGAGATATGGAAATCTGTAGAAGGTGAAATAACATATAGGGATCTGTAAGGCTTGTTCTTAGACATGTTTTGCTGTGGCTTTTCTTATGGATATAGTGGTCTTAGTGTTTTTCTATTTCCCGAAAAGTTAACCACTCTTACTGCTTTGTTCATAGCTATCCACATCTTCCAATGATTCTATGAACATTGTCTGTAAGTGTATGTGCTTTTCTTTTACTGTTTGGAATTTTCATTAGCATTTGATGGAAATTCTATCTATTTTAAGGTTTGATTTTTCTACAATTGGTATCCTGTCATTATTGCATCCATATTTGCTGCACTGGAAGCATTTCAAACATTTTGCTACTTTAATTTGCAAGTAAGCTTTGGAACTGATGCTTTTTGATGTCTATTCTGTGATGTATATTGCAATCTTGACAGAAAATCTGCTGGTTGTCCTTACAGTTGCTGAGGATTACTGACCTTGCAAGAATCTTTATACACAATTAGAGCTGGATTATTAGTGACATTTGGCAATTAATAAATCATTAAGCCCATTAATTGAATACATTCAACTAATTGATTATTTTCACAAGATGGTAAAAAAACTAATCTCATGAAATGGCAAAAAAAACAACTTATGATGCTAAAAAATCAGGTTTCAATATCCATAGTGGGCAGAGCACAGATAATTCATTGTGTAGCTTTGTGTTAAATAACAAAGAAACATAATGGCAATATTTCTGTAACTTGATTATTTGTGTGAATTGTGACATCAATCGATCAAGCTGGACAAACTTCAATTAATCCAAAATAATAATGAAAAATCATAATGGCAGTATTTCGATTATGGGGTAGTTAGAATAATCAAAAGCAGTAGTAATCAGAAACCCTGATTTTGATTAATTGATTATTTCATGACATTACTTGTTTTAATCATAATATCATTTACAGAATGGCTGGAATAATCAAAAACAGTAATTATCAGAAACATTAATTTTGATTAATTGGTTATTTTCTTGACAATTGATTTAATCATAATATTGCTTGCAGAATTGTTGCAATTTAAAAAAATAATTAATTGGAAACACTAATTTATTATTTTATGTGACAGTAACCAGTGTAATTGATGCTTATAGGTAACTGATTATCTGTTAATCATTTTTTATTACAATAACACCATGACATCAGGAAAAGTTTAGTAAAAGATATATCCATCTAGTTAAACAAAAAGATAATTTTATTTCCCTTGGTTCTCTTTGATTACCATGGGATTTCTAATATAGTAGTGCACGTTCTGTAAAACTTGCAAGAGAGTTGAAGAAATACCAGATGTGAATTACCATACATGGTCTGGTTGACTCTGAGATTTGCTGTTGAAAAGAAGCTTTATAAGAATTTCTGTTAGTAAATTTAATGACCAAATTATACCTCCTATTCTAGCTAACATTTAGAAAAGGCACAGTTTGTTTGTAATAATTGAGGTATTTAAGAACAGCTTTAGGAGTGAAGTATCTTAACCACCAAAACTGTCTTTATTTTGGGTAAAAACTTTATTCGTGTAAAAGAGCAGATATATATGTGCACTAGAATTTCTTTTTCAATTTAGGAAATTACATAAGATTCAGGAAAAAATATTTTAATCTAAGAAGTGGCAGTTTTGTGTTCTTTCACTGCATTAATCTGTTTGAGTAAGTAAAGAATACTAATCTCAATTGCTATAAAGTTAGTTCACACTAATTTCAATTCGAAATATGTTTTTATTTTTTTATATATCTAAATGCCAAGTTTTCAAACTACAGCAGTAAGTTTATGGATTTATAATACTAAAATCTGGGGTTTGATTTCCTGCAGTGGACACAGCAGATAGCTTGACGTGGCTTTGCTATATTACAAATAAACAATGGACCATTCAAAAAGGTTTTATGGTTTAGATTTTCTTAATTTCTGAACTAGACTAGATAGTCTGAATAAAATTTATAGGATATGCCCAGTGAAGCACTATCTGATAATTTTTTTTAACTTTTAAGCATAAAAAAAGATGTTTTTGATGGAAATCAGAAGTTTCTAATTGTGTCTGCAAGAGTTATTCTACATCATATGGCTAACATTAAGTCACAGATGAATGAAAAGTAGACCAGAAATGTTATTTTATACTGCATTGAATACCTCGGTTATCAGTGAATGGACTATAATATTAAAACATGACACTTACTGACATCTTGTGGAGCTTGTGCTAAATCCAGATTATTACTGCAGGGAAAGGTGGTCCTACTTGATGTTAGGTGAGAGTGCTAATGGTGTAGCCAGTCCTGTAGATGAAATGACATTTAATGTTGACTTACAATTAACTTATGAGTGTAAAATGCTTAGAATATAATCGCTACAGCATGATTACCACACGTCTTGTCTGTATTTTATACAGTAGTGTGTGTGTGTGTGTGTACAAGTTTGTTAAAATGTTAACTGAAGTATTAGAAAAGTTTTAACAAATAATTTACTCCATTTACTTTCAGATAGAGAAGGTAAATAAGTTTGTTTCTCATTCAGGCCTGTTACACACTGACATTGCTTTTACTTTTAGTATAAAATACCTCAGGAAATAGAATCATAGTTGACTACTGTGAGTTTGATACTTGCCAACTAAGGTGTTTGTTTATGGGGAACAGAGTAGCCATTGTTCTTGACACATAGATTATTCACTGATTTTATAGTTGTAGGTAAAATATTGTGAATTGTGAAAAAAATTAAGATAAGAATAAGAGTGGTGCTCATTATTTGTAGTTGTTATTATTATCATGACAGATGTTTGCTGTGAGGACACCTCAGATTTACAGAAAGTTCTTTGGGTGTTCCTGCATAATGTAATTAAAAGTATTTTCAGTGAAATTGTATTTCTCTTGATTTTATGACTAAAAAAATGCAGCATGTAAGCAGAATAATATTCTAAAATCTCATAACTGATAATAATGAACAGTTTCAAAAAGTGAGCTATGGCATCTCACAACTGAGAATTTTACATAAGTTGTTTGTACCTTTTAATTTGGTACCTTAATAGAGAAATTGTAGGCTTCAAAGTGAATTTGAAAGTGAAGAGGCTCAGACATATATGCATAAATACCAACAATTCATATATGTGGTAGTGGTGTTGGAAAGAAATTTGGTAAGAGGATAAGTTTCAGGTTCACAGCTTTTAATGGGATTCCCATCTAGCCTACCCTCTTGTTGAAAAGTGAGACTGACATACACAACAATGTTGTTTTTGTAGTCACCTGCAAGCTATTTTGTATCTAACACTGGGCTTTTTCTTTTCATAAGTGTACATATCATGAAAGGTGCTATTACTAGTTCATATGGAAGCAAGTGTACATTTAAATGATTATTAGTGTCATTAACATGCAACATCACTTAATCAAGCCCTCCCCTCCCATTGACATGGCAGTAAGTCTGATATGATGCTAAAAACTAGTTTTTGATACCTGTGGTGGGCATGGCACAGATAGCCTATTGTATAGCTTTGTGCTTAACTGCGAACAAACTTAGTCAATAACAGTACTCCCTATTACTATGTTCCCCACTCTGTCATTCATTCCAACATTTAATATAGGCCTATATACCTTATCGTGCTACAAAAAGTTACCCACTGGCTTTTCCCCATGTATAGTTTTGTTTTTGTTGCCAGTAACGCTTCTGGATGAAAGAGATTGTAACAATTAGGTTTTTCATTTGTTTGTTATAATCAATTAAGAATTGATTGTCAAAATATTAACCAAGTGCTTGGTTGAGGTTTAAAAAATATGAATTTTCACTATAATCATTGGTTGTGCACACAACTATATTTGACTTGCTGAAGTTTTGAAAAGTTAAATCTGAATAACTGAAATATGTGCAGTTTTTTATGCAGAAAGGAAAAACAAAACTACAGTATATGAACTATAAACACTGTATTTGCCATCATGGTAAAGGAATGCAGCATTCTGAGGTATTTACTTAAGGAAGTTTAGTGATAATTTTATGGAAAGCTTCTACATTAAGATGGAGGTTACTTCATTTTCCTACATGAAAGAATTTTCAACAAATGTCATGATTAAAATATACCATGAAGTGAGAAACTGAAAAAAGTCTCCCTCTCACTGATAAGCATAGATATTTCAATATAATTCCCAATATTTAAAATATATAATTCTTTTGCAGACTTAATGTAATTGCTGTAACCTTAGGGCTTTCATGAAGTGTTATTTGAATGATAAATTTATTAGCTTTTTGACAATGAGTTTGGAACTTTTTCTTAAACTTGCTCATTAAGTAAATTATAATTATTTTTTTGACTAAAAAGACATTATTCTTTGACCAATTTTTCTACAAAAAAAGTGCATATATTCCTAGGCTAACTTGATTTTGAGCACTGGAGTGAGCAGAAAATTTGGTGCATTGTTATAGTACTAATAACCTGATAGTAAAACCTAGTAAATGTTAAACTGTATATTTTTCTAATTGTTCAGAAAACCTTATTTGCAACTTCTTAGTACAATTTATGTTCTGTACAAAAGTACTGGAGTGAGATATATTTTAGAAATTGCATTTCCAATGGAATGTATACCCCTCACAAAAGACTATTTTATTGTTAAGATTTTTTGTATTACACAATGAAAGACTCATTCTTAGTAATTTGTTTTATATGTAAAAATAAAACAACTTACTGTTGAATAATGTTTTATAAAATCCGTGTAATATGAAAGGATTCTATGTATGTGTTAATATTTAGTGATAAATATTAAGATTGTTTATTATGTTATGTACAAAGTTTGCCAGAAGTTTTCCCAAAACTGCTATAAATGGCATTTAGAGTTAGATCCAAGGGTATTAAAAGTGTTGTTGACTTTTTCAGTATTTATAAGGTTGGTGTTATCAGAATTACATACTTAGAACACCTGGTTAATAATTTAGAAAACACTTGGCTTAATAGTGTGACATATAATCAATACATTTGTTTGTACAACCTATCTTTACCTTGTTCATCTGCTGTTATGAAAATATAAATTATTTTTCTGTATTCACTCTATGGTTTACTAACATCCACTGCTAATCTTATAACTGTTAAGAAGTCCAGTTGGTCGGAGACAGCTTTTAACACAGTCTTTGCCTGTATTAGTTTAAAATTGTGCCTTTAAATTTAAGCTTATACAGTTAATATTCAGTGGACACCTTAGATAGTTTTATGTATTTTCTGAAACCTGCCTCTATTCTTTAGGACCTTTAAAAGACATGTTAGGGAATCTACAACTGCAGCAAAAACATTTTTTGTGGACTCTTAACTTAGATGATATCTGTTAGACAATAAGAGTGAAGTTTTTCTCTTTGTATTGGTTTTTTATACAATTTACAAGCTTTTGGTTACAGTTTCATCAACCATCTTCAGTCCCCACTAAAAACATGTGAAATAGATTTCCTCTTCCATATCTTTTATTTTTCTTTTATGTCTTAATTACATAAAAAAGCAGGCTTGAAATTGAAGTACAAATAAATTAAATAAGATGTAATAAAAATGGAAGTTAAATATCAAAATATCATTGATAGGCTATCTGCACTCTGTCCACTGCAGGGAATTGAATCCTGGATTTTAATGTAGTAAATCTGTAAACTTGCCACTGATCCACCAAGGAGCATTGATTAATAGTAAAGTATATATGGGCAGTCTGGGATTGAAATTATCCTATCAGTTGGAAGAAACTTCTGAAGTTTCTCTTTCAGTATCAGAGTTTTGTTTCAAGAGTTGTCTCTGTTACATACTATCTTCATCAAACTGAGTGAAGAAGAGAAAGCAAAGCTAACTTTTAAAATATAAAAGGTTTGCAGATCAACCTATCCTCAATTAGAACTTTAATTCATTCAAGGTTTATATGCTTATGGTGTATGCTGTCAACAGTGAGCAATTTTCACTATATGAAACTGAGTGCATGTTTATCTAATTTTAGTTTTTGATTAGTGAATTTTTGAAAATTGAATGATGGAGACCTCTTTAAAAAGGATTTGATATAATTTTTGTTGAAGTAATTTCATAATTATTTAATAACTATATGTAGTGTGGTGCCCTGGAGTTTGTTTCTCCCCTCATATTATTGTAATGTTTTTTGGAATGTGTATGAAGTGTTATTATATGTAGAATTCCATAAGTGCATATGCTGCCTGTGACCTTATATGTGTGTGTGCACTGTCCTTGATTAATTCTAAGTGTAATTCAGCATGAAAAATTTAGATAAAATCAGTTAAGTATCTAAAATCTGATCAAACTTAGTTGCAGGTTTAATCTTGCTAATTAAGTGTGCAAGAGCTATTAAAAAAAAGTCTCATCTTTAGTGAAGAAAGTTGGGGTTGCGTTTATCTTTATAGGTCCTGTACAGACTTCAGCATAGATATCAAGCCTTCACTTAACAAAAAGTATTGAACTTGAGCTACAGAAGCAAAATATATATAAGGCAACACAGATTTATGTCAGATGGGAACTGAGTTTTAGGCAGTAATAGTTAAAAAGTTTTAAAAATAGAAAAATCATATTAAAGGAAAGACAATTAACACAAAGTTCTGTATGAAAAGAACATTATTAGTTGAAAGTAATTTTTTAATACAGATTTTTTTTCTACTGGAATAATATGGATAACTTATCTGGCAGATAGAATGATTAAAACATTCAGAAAGGTCACGTTTCCAAAAATATTTTAAGTTATAGGGCTTCTTGAATGGAAAAAAATAGTTGTAGAAGTAATGTGTATGTAAACTTCCAAAAATTACATTACTATTTTCAAGGTATTGCAAACTACTGTTTTTCATGAACTCTGCTATTCTTTGAATTGACTCTGATAATTTAACAATTAGCATATTAGTCTGGTATACACATTAATTTGGAGTACAGCTCCATTCCAGAAGACTTTTACATACATTGATAACACTACATAAAAAACATTTGACAATAAGCCATTTTATATGTCAGTTATAGTTTGTTTCCTTTGTATGTAAAGTGTAAATAATTTCTACACAGAATGATTGAGCTGTTGCATTTGTGATGTAGTTAAGGAATATCACCTATTATGTGATTGTAGCTCTTGCAATTATCTATAATACAGTTTCTTTCATTCTTGATATATAAATTAAGGGTGTAATATCTAAGTGTGCATTGTATTAATTCAGAAAGCAATTTGTACAGCTTAATAGTGAAAGTATGTAACCTGTCTACCAGACTATTTCAGATACTGTACAAGTTAGTATGTCCAATTGTTATTTTACTTTTTTTTTTATGATATGTGCATTTTACAGTTTTGGCTTATAGATTTCCCTTTGGATTCACTTAAATATGGGTAAATCCATGATTTATTTTCTAAAACAATACAATGACTAGTAACATTGCTAATCTAAGTGTATTTAAGATAATTCACAAAATCAGTGTAATTATGGTAAACAAGTTCAGGTGTTCTGATATTATAAAGTTAAATGATTGACATGGATGGCTGTTGGAAAATATCTTACAGTAAGAACAAAAAAATCCATATGATGTATAAATATTTGGGTATCACATGATTTAACTCCAGAAAGTTTTTGTATTGAAATATACAAGTCATTAAAGTTCCACTTTTGTATATCTCCAATAAAGTTTTTTCTTTCAGTTATAGTATCCATTACTTAAAAAAAATTCAGTTGAAAGCTCAGCACAATACATTAACTTATAATCAAAAGTAGGACTGATGTAGATACATTTCTTTTAGCACTTATGTTTACAATTTTATTGTGAAATAAAAACTGGGATGAAAACATAAAAGCTTAAAAAAATACTCCTTGAAGATTTATTTGGTATTTCTGGGATTAATACATCATGATATTGAAAATAAAATTTTATGGAAGCACATAAATTTGCTTTGTTACATTTTTCAAAATAATATATATACGGTTTTTCTATGCAAAGTCATATTTGTCACAACTCTAGCCAACAATACTGGCAATTTCATCAATAAGAACTGGATTAACTGTCCAGTGTACTTGTATCCAAGTGTAATATATGTCTGATAATGATTCATTTTTAACTCTACTTTTACTGCAGTATATCCTGAGGTTTAGAAAAACAGGTTATTTGCACAAAAATGCTAAGTTAAACATATAGTAAAAATGGTAGATGCATCAGAAATTCACAGATGACTTTAATGTATCTGACAGGTACCAAAATGTATGATTTTTATCCATTTTCCCAAATTTTTACACTTACTGCCATTTCTTATCCAGCTTAGTAGATCTACAAAATTTTATGGGCCAGCAGTTTTACATGGTGTGAAAGAAGCTTAGTATTAAAACAAACAAAATTTAAATAACATATATTTATAAACTGTTCAATTCAAAGTTAAAATCTATGGCTAATGGAGACATTTCACATTTTTTAAAACTGAAAATCGCAAATTAAGATCTTACATTTCACCACATGAATACTAGACATGATGTTGATATCATTTTCACTTAAATACAGGAGAAATACTTGACTGAAACACCCTACCAATGGTACTGGTTGGTGATCTTACTTGTTATGGTTAAAATCAATTTATAAAATTTTTTTCTATTTTATTAATAGTTTTGGTGTTCTCAACAGTATTTTCAATTTTAAAAAGTAACTTTTCTTCCAATGCTAATTTGTATTAGAAAATGTTAACATAAGAGATGAAGACCACCAATAACAGAACTACAAGCTAACAACAATGAATAGGTTGAGCAGGGACTGAGTAAGACAAAAAAAAACAAAACAGATTACACTTAAAGCAGACTAATCTTTTGTATTGATAATTGCAAGATATAACATTCTAGAACAAATTGAGCAAGTTTAAATCAATTTTAATCAAAGTACACCCACTCAAAGTGCAAGAACAAGAATCAAAATAGTTGAACAGTAGGCAGAACTTGACATAAAATAACATTGTAATTTGTTACTATCAATCCTTCTTTTTTTACATGTTTTTACATTTAGTATTAAGTATTTGAAATGTACCACACTAAAAATAATGAACAATAAAAACATTTATCACAGAATGTTTAAAATCCTGGAAAAAGGGGCTCTTAAGCACTCATAAGTGTTCTAGATTGAATGTTTCATTTTATTTCAAATATAAATACACATGTACTATAGTAATGGAGGTAAAAATAGTACACTTAAAAATAAATTTCTTACATTTTACATACAGTTAAAGATGCCTGGGTAACAATCTTGCTTAGTAGAACTTACAGCGGTAAATCACAAGTAAGGAGCAAATATAAAGAAAGAACTATTCCCTTGTGCTAAATAAATAAATGGCTTATGTTCTCTTTCACTTCTGTATCATCCCATCTTTTATTTTTCAATGTCACTTGTCTAACAGCACAAAAATGTCCAAGTTTATTTAATTAGTATTAGAAACATATAACACTCTTTTCACACATTCATAAAAGTAAAAAACTGATTTTAATTTGGGGACTTGTATATGCATCATTCATAACAAAAACTATTTTAGCATCATAGTATATTAAACAAAATAAACATTTGTTTTAATGCTTGAGTATAAAGTTTCACCCGAGTATCAGTGAATGAGTTTTCTCAAAAAATTTAATTATAACTAAAAAAACTTTAATAGACCAATAACCATGATAGGATATAGACTTAATTTTAGTTCAAAGAATCAGTCCAAAATGTTTTCAATTTTATTTATTTTTTAGTTTATGACAAAGAAGTGTAGTAGAATACTTTACAGCTATTAGTAAAAATTCAAGCTTTGTTGGAAGAAATCTTTTGTCAACTCAACTTCAAAGCATGCATTATTTTTATGATCAACTTTCATATGTTTTTCTTATTTTATCTTTTACTCTGGATCATCTGAACTGAGATTAAATGGTAGTTTTGGCAAGATACTGAAACTATAAGGATGGTAATAATGAAAGAAGAAATTAGGGTTCTTAATAAAATACTGAAGATAAGAATATTCACTATTTATAGGTGCTACTATACAAATAGCAAACACCAATAATTACTGAAAAGTATAATAAAACCACTAGTGTATGTGCTTTAAAACAGGATTACGTACATCTGGAACTTTGTTTCACAGCACCTGCATTTGCTTGATCAAGGTAAACCCACGTACACTAAAATGTCCTTTCAGAGTTCTGTTACGAGTGTTTCTTAAAAATAAACTATGAAACCAACTCTCCATACCATTCCATTGGTTTTAAATCTGACCAATCATTATTCAAATCATCCTAAATTAATCATTAACATCAAGATGGTCAGCAGATCTTCAGATAGGATAGTTTTTTTTAACCAGTTGGAAAAGTTTATTGTATCAGGGTTACCTCTCTTCTGGAAAGAAAGTTTAGTGTAGTAAGATGGTATGAAAAAATAATCAGTAGCAGACAGGGTTCTGGAAGTTTTCTTCAAGGTATCAATAAAAAATTGTCAAGATGACTAATTTCCCTGGCACTGTCATAAAAAAAAACTATTGAAGTACTTACAGATTCAACACCACCACCAAAGACACTATTTTTCTCTTTCATTATAGCAATGTTTGAATTATTTTGGGAGAAGTTCAATCACCATAATCAATGATACTATTGCTCCATTGATGACCTGCCAACTTTGTTAGGTTTATGATGTTACACTTTGTCAAGAGAAGTGTCTTGGAGACTGAAGAAATTATTCCTAAACTTATGGGACTAAACCTTGCACTCAAGGACCCAACATCTTACAAGACTGTGGACATTGGAGTGGGTACAAAGTCTGTACTGAAAAATAGTGCAACATGTCATTAGAAACTAATTTTGCACAGAGTGTAGGTAGTTTCTGTTGAACACTACTGATGTTTGAGAGAAAAGCCCAGTTATAGTACCTTATAATTCAGTACATATCTCCCTTATCATTAGAGCTGGGCAATTAGCTTGATGAATCTATTACCAACAAACATTGGTTAGTGTCACTAAAATTAATTACTTAATCAAAATTAATGTTTATAATTATTACTGTTTTTGATTATTCTAGCTATCAAAGTAAATAGAATACTGTCATATGTTTGTCATTATTATTTGCAATTAATTTAAGACTGTTCAGCTTAATTAACTAGTGTCAAGACTCAAAAAAAAATAATCTACTAAACAAAATTAGTGTTTCTGATTATTCCAATTACCCAAATCTTATATGAGAATAATCAATTAGTTAAATTCTATTGATTAATGAGCCCAAAAATTAATTAATTATGAAATTTCAATAATCACTTAACTTTACTTACCACCACTACTGATGACAAGTAATCAGGCACAAGTACAGAAAATATTTTTCTACCCATATAATTCTGCAGCATGAAAGTAAAACGATCAACAGTAGGATATCATGTAACTACAGTTTTCACTGATGTGCACTGCAGTCCTAGATGTGAAGGGTGAAAATAGAAGGACCACCTGGATACCATTTTTGCAGGATTTCTAACAAAAGATGACACCTTTTCTGATGTATGGAAAGTCATGAAGATGTTTTTGAGATTCTTTCAGAAAATCGTAAAGACAGTTTTGATTCTCATGGAAATGTTGAGACGAGTTTGACTACTAAGAATGATGCAACTATAGACAAAAAGAATGTGGAAACTCAGATAAATATTTATGATGCTATCCAGTCATTTCCTGATGGAATTCTCAACTTGCAAATAGACTAGTTTTATACAGTATATTAGGAATGTGAGAGCTACCTTAATTGCCTCAACAATAAATGTCACACCCTAACTGCAGAACGAAAAACAAAAAGCTGTTAAAGTTTCCAAGGCAGAACAAGCACCAGCCCAGACTAATCAGAAAATTAAAGAACTTTAGCAATAGAGCAACAGTACACAAATTATGGTGTAAATTTTGTTCTAAGACAATATCAATGATGCACAGTTAAACATAGTAGAATACCTCATGTCAAATGTATACGATATTTTTTTGGGAGGAGTTATAAAGTTGTTTCTCACACATGATCTCGAAAATTTTTAAAAACCAGGGGATTTTACTAGCAGATTTGAATGACCTTTTATATATTTATGCAAAAGTACAAGGAATCATGTACTATCACACTATTACTTGTAATCCACTACAACTTTTTAGATATAGCTTACATTTGGAAGTAGGATTTGCTATACAATAATCCAATAAGCTACTTACAACAAAAAAATATCATCTACACAAGCTTGATATATAACGGAGGAAGGTAAAAATTAATACTGAAAATAGGAATTCAATATATTTCACACAAAAAGTTTATATTCATATAATGGTGCAACATCTCAAAAGTTTGGAGTGTGGTTCACATAATTCTGAATCTTAATACATCATAAATATATCACTTATTATGTACTGATATATTAAAATTATGTTATTTTTTCTGGGGAAAAAATTCTTAGAGTTGATAGATATATTTAGACATATGCAAAAAGAAAGCATTATGTTTGCCAATTCATTATTTTATGCACATGAAAACCAACGGTTATGTTAATCTGTGTAAGATAGATCCTTCCAACTCTAAAATAAATGATATAGAATCTCCCACACATATACATACACACAATTATCAAACCAATTCCAGATAATTTCTTTTTGAGTACATATATAAAAATGTTAAGATTCTATTTACAATAATGTATGAAACAAGAAATTCTTGTAAATCATATGTCACTTACTACTCCAACCAACAAATCACAATATAAACTATAGATTAAGTCCATGTTATTGTGAAGAAGCTTGGCTGCAATGATTTCGAAACAAATCCAGTATTTTTACTGTATGTTCTTTCTTACAATTGTTCTTTGTATATGTAATATTTTAAAATGATGTTTTCAGATTACCAGGTACATTCTCTAAACAAACCAACTCATCTATCAAAATGGTATGACAAATGCATTTTTCATTTAATTACAAGATCAGAAGTTATGTTATTAATGTACAAAAAATGCAAAAACAAAAGTAAAATAAGCATTCAAATCATCATTCTTCTTTTCATTAGCTCCTTCTTAAAAGATGAAAAAAAAAATTTTATAGTAAAGTACATAAATATATATACACACACACACACACACACACACAATCCAGTATCTTTTTTTAATGTCATACTTATATCTAAATGCTTCTATTACAAATATTATGAATCATTTATTTTACTTTTATGTATTTGTAGGATATTATTGTGAGAAACAGAAAGCAAGCAACAAATTAGTAATATTCTGTCAGCTCACAACTTCAAAATATTAAGAATACTAATAATAGCTTTGTTAAATATCAAAGCTATGATGGGATGGTCTAAAATATTTATTAAAAGTTGGCAAAGTAATGAAATGTTTAAGGCTTAACAAAAGCAATAAAATCACACTTGACTACAGATAAGTTTTGATAGACTTGAAATGCTATATTTAAACATATCTAAATAGAAACATTTCAATTCAACTAAAAAGAATGTACAGGATAAACATTTTATTTATTATTAGACCAAAAGCTTCAATGTTTTCACTATGAATAAGAAAAATGAGAAATTTGATTACAATGCATGGCAGGATTATAGAAACAAATACAATAGAGATAAAGGATCTCTAATCAATTTTACCTATCAATTCAGAAACTCACTATACTGAAACAAGTAATTCTTGTAAATCATACGTCACTTACTATTGCTGTTTGAAAGTCTTCTGTTTTAATCATTGAGAACTTCTGTATGTATTTGTGAAGCCATTTTTATAAATTTCAAAAACTGTCAAGGCAAGCTTCTAAACACAGTTTTCTATTTTTTAACACTGATAATTTTATAAAAATACAGAATATAAATTACACTAAAAATGTATACCAGTAATTATACAAACTTAAGATCAGTTCTTGAACTGAACAGCAGATCTTTTTTCACACATTGTAGTTTGGTAATTTGGCTTGAGGCTGATGTACAGATGTAACAAAAGTAATAACTGAAGCAACACTAACAAGAAAAAGTATTTGCCACACATCCCTCACCTCCTTAACATACACATTACACAAGATAACTAATAAAAACAGAATGCCAGCTAGTTCCCGTCTTTTCTTTCTGTTCCAGAGAAGCAAGTACACCTGAAAAAAGGTAAATTATAACAAAAATCAAAGTTAATAATTTAATTCTACAAAAGATAAAAAAAACTTGTCCAAATGTTACTTTCAATCAAGGAAATACATAACTAACAAATTCATTTTGTCCTAAATCAACTATAAGAATTCATTCTGAACAACTTAGAAATGTTAATTATTCACTATGTACCTGGTTCAACAAGGTATAGATTAAATATAATACAATCATTCAGTGTAATACAAGTGATTTACTATTGTGCATGGTGAAACACCCCACATTATTTTACTGTATTATTCACTGTGTATTATGTGCCAAACAATCTCCACCAATGTTGAGGGAAGATTTTTGGGAGATGAAATGAACAAACATTCTGTCAGTGAATGAGCCTGTACCAGTGTTTGAGTGTAGAGAAAGGGAGGAGGAATGCAAACAGAGCAGGCAATTCAAAGCTGTGTTCTCCAACTTCAAATGACTCTACATTGTTAGGAAAAGTTAGTTTGCAAGTTTTTTGTAGTTTTTCATCTTTTTACAACATTTCTTATTACCTGACAAGATTAAAATATTTGTTTAATTTTTCAATATTCCTCAGTCTGTGGGGCCAACCTAACTTTCCTGGTCCAGTAATCAAAAGGTTAAGAGTGCATAATGAAAACACATTTAGCTGCCATAACTTCTTTTTTTCGCATTCCTACCAATACTAAGATTTAATAGTCATTAGTCAACCCAATTCATGTAATACATATGATTACACAATCTTATTAACCCTTTCACAATAGGCTCAGCATAAAATACTGAGTCCATTTACACAATTGCACTTGTTATGTATTTTTACTGTAACTTTTAATACAGTACGTGTATCTTCACAAAATTTGGGAAACTTTTGGGAAACATTACAAGTCTTTTGTAAACAAAAAATTAGATTTCTTAATGAAGTATTTCTACAAGAGATTTGTTTGTGAATGTATCAAGTCTGTTTCATTACTAGTCTGAGTGCAAAGTGATTTTCAAGTTATGATTAAAAATACCATTCTTTGTTCCCAAAATTTCAAATTTCATTTGCATAATCTCTAAACCTCCTAAATACGTTTCAAACACTTGTTTTCAGTAAAACTTTATATTTTATCATTTATTTCCTCTAACCTGACTCTATACAAGGTTGGTTGATTTGATCGACCTCATAACTACCAAACAAAAATTTAAATAATTCTAAATTACACTTTTTTTTATTTCTAAAATTACTTCAAATTGTAACATGAAACTACATTTGTTTATCCAAAGTAGCTTTAAACTCGTAACAGTATACAACTATATATATATACTTAAATTTTATTGTTTTATTGCTCTTTGAACAGTGTCTAACTATTACTTGCTCCATTATAAGTTCTAAATCAGTTGGGGAATGCAGGGCTCACATTACGCTATCAAATTACATTACTCACGAGCAAGTATGAGCTGCTGGTGTGCATGCTTCGTGAAAACCTTTCTATTATATTATTATATATTTTACCTAATCTAACCTTAACTAATTAAAAGAGATTCCTATTTTTACATTTTAGTTACTTTTATAACAATAAAAAAGAATACACATGAAAAACAAAAAATAAAGTACTTACCTGGACTTTTTTTTTTGCTGTCGACTGCCGACTAATAGTAGTAGTACACTAAATAATTTTTATTCAATTAAATAATGCATCAAAGAACGTAAAATAATAATGCACAAAAAGCAGACAATGTCCCATAACTATCACAATTTTTCTGGCTTTCTAACAATGCAACAAGAGCCGTTACAAATTCATCCAAACTAGTTGATATGTTTCCCATGGGAAACAAAGTTTGTACTAAAAGAGAAATTGACAATTCTCTGTTCAGAAAACAGTCATATAATATGTCATTTGACAAATCAAAACCTTGGCTTTCTATTGGTTATAAGTAACATAGTGTTAAATGTAAGAGAGAAATATTAACAAATCCTGAAAGAGGCATGTGACAGGTGGGTGTGGCAAGAGGGGTCTGATTTTCTATCTGATAGCTATGTAATCAAACAAGATTGAAGGCTATACAAATTAGGCTTTGTCTGACCGATGACAATTTGATAGTGAGTAATTTATGTTAAATTCTCTACTTATTGGAGGAGTGATGAATAAATTACAGAAGAGAGGATGTCTAGAGAAAAAATGTCACATTTCTCACACTAGGAAAAATTCAGGATTATTTTCACATTGCCTTATAAACTTAAGAACTTAAACCTTGTATAGTATTAAAATATAAATTATTAGCTATAGCTTTATGCTATAGTAATTGGTATAACAAACAAAAAACAGTTTACTTAAACTTTGAATGTAAGTCACTAAAACCTTGTGACATGCGCAGTAAAGAATGCCAATGCAGAGGGGGGGGGGTAATACTTGTTAAAGAAAATGCTGTTTCAATTTATAATTTTATATTAAAGATGTAATAAGTCAGTCATTTTAAATATATATTTTTGCTCCTTAAAAATAAGTCAAGTGTTACCAATACAATAATTTAAAAAAACATCAAAGCCTTCCTTAATTATATTATTTACCAAGTGACCACTGTTGCCCAGTGCTTGACTAATTATGCATTTGAAAATAAAAACAGGAGTTTTCAAAGATACTCTTAATAAGAATTTCTTAAATAATCCAAATTAAACACTTTAGTACTGGATTAAAGATAATTCACATTTGTGAAAATTTGATATTTTCATAAAAACTGTTTAGGACTGTTTGAATTAACTAGTTCAGCATGGGTTCAGTCCCTACGACCGACCTCATAATCATTTTGTGCTTGTTATAGTTTTCATGCTAGAATTTTTAAATTAGTAAGCAAATGTTAATGAAATTTGGCAGAGTATCAGTAAACATTACAATGCTTTCATACACAAAATATCTAATTTTTTATTTTTATTAAGTATTAAGGTTCGTAAAGAAATGCTTTTCTCATGTCTTGTTTTTTCTTTTCGCATTTTGCCTATCTATCATGCAAAGTGATATTCATTTTAAGATTAAAAATACTTTTATATGTCAGAAAATTTTGAAATTTCACATGCAAAATCTTTATAATAGAGATAGTTATCAAATGTTTCTTAAGAAAAAGCTTTCTATTCTATATGTTATTTTCAATAATTAATCTCTGTACAGGTTCGATAGATTTGAACAATCTTGCAACCACCATAAAAAATTAGGAAATAAATATAAATTATGCTTCTTTCATTCTTGAATGACAAAAAATTATAACACAAAAACATAAATGTTTAGACTGAATAGCTTAAATCTCATAACATTATATATTTATTATTTTTATTATATTGACCTTTTGGCTGTGCCTGACTAACAATACAGAAGTCACAATGATGCAGCTCACGTGTACTCATGTTATAGTATCAAATAACATAAAACTGACCTTTGGTCCGTACAAAGTAACTTGTCTTGGCTGTGTTTTAGCAAACTAGTACTTTGTAAAATACAGTCACATTTCAATTATTTACAATATAAATGTATATAGATTATTGCTATTTTGAAATAAGTTCTTAAACATAAAACAGTAACTAACGAAGTAAAGCAAACAATTATCTCTTGTAGTTACGATCTTTGTATTCAGTTGCAGCTGGATGTAGATTGCTAAGCCTTTAAAAAATTTACAGGTGGAGGATATGAAACAAAATATTTTTTTTAGGTTTTATATATATACATTTAAATAACTAAAAAATCATAAATTACTATATTAATACCATAGAATTCCACAATAAGTTATCAAGCTTAGTAACTAAGATGTATTTTACTCCAAAAAAAAATATGAAATTTCGAGCAGACTAAAGACGCACCCTACCACATTGAAGTATTGGTTCAAAAGAAAGAAATGGTGCCAAGACCATTAAAATGGCTGAGAAAGCCACTAGAGGGACATTCTGAGCTTCCAATTGGTTATTCATGTCATACATAGAAGTAAGTATATACAAGGGAGCATTTCCAAAAATGGAAAGAGGTGGGTGGGGTGCCACTGTGTTTGATTTATCACATGAATAATATCTTACCAAATTGAAAAGATAAAAGGCTTTTATTTTATATTCTAGCTTTTCAATATTGGCAATTTGAGTTTCTAAATCATACAAAACTATAGACTTAGTATTTTACTTCACAAGCATCTAATTTGAACCAGTGCTGCATTCAACACACCAAGTGACACACAAAAATTGATGTTTGTCTGTATTTTTTTAATAGTTGTTTTTAAATTAAGAAATTAAGTAATATATAGTACTAAAATTTGAATTATAATCTACAGTTTGATACCAAAGTTATTAACACAAGTTCATGAAATAGTAATTCAATAAAATTTTTAATGTGTGTCAACAAACAAGATGACATGGCCTTTCACCTATGACCCGTTTCAAAAGGGTTAAGAGCCCATAAATATCTGCATAAGGTAGCTGAAACTGTCAATTCAGAATCAAATGTTAAGAGACAAACTACCCAATATCGAGTTATATCCCGAAGAATAACAAAAGAGATTATATTCTATCATACTTCAATGAAATAATATTATATCGGAAATATTAATACGGATGTGAAATATGTTTAGTGCAAAAACTGAACAAAAAGTAGGAAGTGAGAGAAATTCATATAACTCTGCTGTCAGTCTTTACTGCTAAGCAGCATTTTTACAGTTAATTTTTTAAGAAACTAACACATGGCAATCCAGTTACAAAATTTCTTAAAAAGGGGATGAATAACAATAATAACTGGTGACAAGTATTGCTTACCACATAAAGAGTGAAATATGTTGAATGTTGCATCACTGCAGTCATCAAAATTTTTTTCACAGCATAAAATTGTTTGTACATTATATTTCAACATTCATTAAGACTGGTTTTCCTTGAACACTGATAGCTAAGTTAAAGTATATCCTCCACAATTTGGCTTAGCAGTCCTAATAGAAGTACAACATACAGTACTTAACTAATATTTAAATTCTAATTACAACACAGAGTTTAGGCAGTAACTTGCTTTTTACATCATGAAATAATAGAATAAATTTAATTGCTACATAGAATTCAGGTTGTAAAGTATTTACTTAAAGTGACATTTACTACTTAAGTGAGAGAAATTTCTGACTAATACAGGAATTAGCTTGTAAAATGTATTCTTAAACATTCACAAAGATGTCAACGTCTGTTTTATCACTTATCATAAGAATTTCATAACTATAATGTTGTGAAAATATTGAATGATTTATTTCACTCACCTGGCTAGCACCTATGCATGCTTCTACCAGAAAAGCAAAACCATAACTTGGATTTGTTCCATCTATTTCCTAAACATAAGAAAAATAGAAACTGATGCTGTATTTATTTAGGACGTTGTTTTATTGTAAACATTGTACAATTATGAAAAAGACTTTTCTGTGGGTTATTTAACCACAAAGTGAAAAAATATTCTAACAGAATGTAATTATTTCTAAGTAAAACCATTAAGATTACAAGAACTCATCTAAAATTTAACACTAAAAAAGCATAGTAAATTTACAGTCATTTGAACTAATTAACTAGTTTTAAAAAATTAGATCATTACATTCACAGGTTCTCTGAATAATCATAAAGCACTAAAATATGCTTAATAACTAGTTACTTAATGAAATTATTGTGTCTAGAAATTACATTCACAAATTGAACAATAGCATACACACATAAAAATATGTAACAAACCTCAATGCTTGATTCACTTAATGCCATCAGGCCACGGTAAAGGTTAAACAAGACACATACTACAGACAAAACAATTGATATAATCCCATATGATGGTAGACTTGGAAGTGGAGGTACACCACCTACTATTGAAAAAAAAAAAAGTTAAATTAAGGCATATCTTAGGTTAACATCTCTTGCATTATTGAAATTACAACAAAACACAATTTAGCAGAGACATAAAAAAAACATTATTATATTTTATATAATATTTTATACAAAAGCTTATAAGATGCATGAATAGCTTCACAAATGTGGTACACAGAATTCAATGTTTCAGTTGGTCCAGGAATATTTTTAATTATTTAAATATGTCACAAATTCTGTGTAGGTGAATTCAAAATATTTTAGCTATGTCTTTAGTCACATAAATTTAACTTTTGCTTTTCATTTCTAAAAGCATTTTACTGCAATCATTCCTCACATTTTAAACAAGCAAACAAACAAAAATATCTGAAGAAAAAAGCTAAATAGTGTAAATAAATTATAATTGGTTTAGCACAGTTATAAGTCATTTTTCAACTGTGAACTTACCCTTAATCTTAAGCTTCATATTTAATCCCAGTTTTACAACTCTAAAGACTTTACCCTGTGCATATTTGAAGAGCAAGACCTAAAAGGTAAGTGTAATAAACTATCAAGGGGGCAATACTATAACTACTTAATCCTACTGATGTGCATCTTTATATGCTGTAACAATGAGTTGGGGGGGGGGGATGTTACTATAACTACTTAATTCTAATGACTTGCATATTCTCACACTGTAACAATGAGTCTGCAGTACCATATTTTTTATTGCTACTATTTTTCATAAAAACAAATTCTCTTTGCCAACATCACTTACAAAAAAACTTTTATATGCTTTGGAGAATGAAATTGGAAACATAAGACCATATCTTAACTTCTGAACAAAAGATGTTATAATGTTACACTTCAATTAAAAGCTAAATCAAAATAAATTTAATTAAGGTAAATTGTTAGTTGAAAATTAATAATACAAGCAATATTATTACACATATCATAATTTTACAGCAAAAAGGACTAACAGTGGTGGATTTAGAGTGACCAGACCCCCCTTTATTCTTTTAAATGTAGGCAAGGGGAGAGTGTTCATTCTTTTTTTTATTTTTTTGCTAGTTCATCTCAGCACTGTTTTCTTGGCTCCAGATATGAAAAGAAAAAAGGTGGTAAGGATGTGTAAAATCAGTTGGGTACAGCAGCATACGTGCAATGAAACATATTATGAAATATTTTAATATATCTACGAGTGTCTGGAATCAATCTTAGACCCATCTGCATATGCAGAAATTTACAGTGTGGTTCTTGGCCATGATTTCGGAATCAAGAAACCAGAGTAAAAGCATAGGGGCTTCTCAAGAGCCTCATATAATCCCAAAATATTATTACATATCTTGTTGCCAAAAATGCTTTGGAGAGTGTCAAGCCAATTACAGCTAAGCTTCAAAAACATGACCTGGATATCTATCATATTTACAGAATGATAGACCAAACACTTAAGCAAATAATTACATTGAAAAATGATATAAATGAGGAAGTTAGTGTATGGTTTGATGATACAATGCAACTGGTAACACTGGTTGGAACTAATATTTTGGCACCCAGAGCACCAAAATCTATCAAGCAAATCCATCATTCAAATACACCAAGCATTTCTGTCAATGAATATTACCCGAGAAATGTTGCCATCCCTTTCTGTGACCATTTATCTAAAGAGATGAAACATAGATTTAACATAGAAAATAGACTGCTGGAGAAATTCTTGCTCTGTTTCCTTAAGTAATTGTAGATACCAAGGACAGTCTTTTGTAGTAGATATTGGATAGGCTTATGTTCTGGGAGCAAGATTTGCCTTAGCCATCATCACTACAAGAAATAAAGGAATAGAAGAGATATAGGAAAGGGAAGGACATCAAACATAATTTACTAATATGATACTGTCTTCAACATGCAGGTGATGATGTTTTCCCAAATTTCAGAACATTAGTCCGGCTTGGATGTACTCTTCCTTTTGGCAGATGTGAGGCTGAATGTTCTTTTTCATGCCTACATAGAATCAAGACGTTGTTAAGAAGCAGCATGGGTGAAGAACGACTTCCTAGATTCACTTTATTAAGCATGAATAATGTGATGAATGCTGAGTTAGTATTAGTATACCAAATGTTTATTAATAAGCACAAATGCAGGTTATTCTTTGGGTGTTTTTTTTGTGTATATATATGTATAATGTAAATAAGATTCACAAAAACAGTGTGTTAAAATCTATGACAGATCTTTACAAATATTAATTTGATTTTCACTCATCATTAATGGAATAACGTCTTAATTCATGTGATTTTGTGCTCAAATATGTTACAGTGTACATATTTTCTTTTGTTTAATAAATCATTTGGTTAAATAAATGTAAAATGCTTTGATATTTTTGTTTTATTAATAACATGAAGATCACTAACTTTGTGACAAACTAAATAAAAATGGTGACTGGTAATTTTACTATCTTATGATAGCAATTATAAGTTAACAAATTTTGGACCCCCCTTAGGAAAATCCTGGATTCACCCCTGACTAACCATTAATGATGAAAATAAATTTACACAAAAGTTTTATACATTTACAAGACAGTAAACTAAGATTATTTAAAAGTTAAGAAAATTTGAATTGCAATGAAACATTACTGTAAATAAATTTTTTTATGATAGTGTTGATACAAGTATAACGTTTATTACAAATTGTGTTTTTAAGTCTGATACTTCTAATTACAAAAATAATAATGAAACTGAGTTTGGTATATTCATGTTTAATTTGTAACTAAAATTAATATAACTTACTCTGCTCTTGTTCAAAAAGTCCAGTTGTCATGTAGGATAAGTTCTTAAAGTATTAGACAGCCCAGGGCCATGTTTCTCAGAAGAACCTGTATTTTAGCAACAAGGAGCAGTTGGTACTTATATAAAAGTTATAATTTTCCTATATTGAAAATATATTTCTGACAGGTACTTTCCTCCTTTCACATAAATAGCTATTCTTGTTCAGTGCTGCTCTCTATATGCAAACACTTTTTTCCACATTCCACAAGCATTGAACTCCTACGTACCTTACAATCAAATGCATCTCATATGCAAATTATTATGTGACAACCCTCCAACAATAAGAGTGTGACACATTCTCCTGATGCATGTGACTCCCTCTTTTCAAATTTACCAAACTATCACTTTGTGTTTTTGCAGAAATTGGAAGCACAGGTTTCCAGTGGGGAGGAAGGATGGGAAGTGTGAACAGAGATAAGTACCTATCAGAAATATATTTTCAGTATAATAAATTATAACTTCCAATATGGTACATTACCTTCACTCACATAAATAGCTAGAATCCCACATTGAATAGGTGGAGGGACAGGTGCAAGGAAAAGAAAGAAGCATCCTTCAAAAGTGTCCAAGGACATCCTAAAAGAGTAGATCCCCACAGTAGAGGATCATATGTGAGAGACCGCACCACTTCTGTACCAGGT